CTTGAACTAAGACTCCAAGAGAAAAAATAACTTGCCTCAGAGCATGTGGCTGACCGGTCCAGGAGCCAGGATTCAGACCTGGAACTTTCTTGCGTGGCAGGAAAACTCTTTTCCTCAAGAGGTAAATCAAGAAACTTAGATCAGCTGAATCCCCTAAACAGCACTGATGTATCTTGGCCTTGGGACAGTAGGAAAATTGATAAGGCAGGTTGCAGCTGTTTTATTCCATTTGTATCCATTGGAAAAAAATTGCAAATAGAGTAACAGAATTTAGGATTCTCAGAATAGATGCCTGAGTTTTCACAAGACCAGAAACACAGAATGGTATATGTGTTTGGTTTGTGTTACGTGTTTGCACACATGTGCACACATGTAAGTGTTACATGCACCATGTGTGCACATGCACCCAGGAGTATATCTAGAGTATATGGGGTCAGTAGCTTAAATTTGGGGGACACAAATAGTTTTAGAACTGCTCCCAGGGACCTAGCGAGTGAGGTCTTGGGGCTCCCTAACATCATGACAAATCTACCTGTGCACGCATGTGCGTTTCCGTGTATGGACGCATGGAGAGTCTTGGAGGGGCCAGCAAAAGCTATTGTCTGTTGACCAGAAGCCTCAGTTCCATTGCTGAGTACGATAGAAGCTCCTTTTATGGTTAGTACTAGTTATTTCTTTTTCTGGGAAGACAAGATTTATCAAGAATTGAATGGGCCAAGAATTTTTTGAACAGCGCCTTCTGAATTCAAGCCAATGATCATTAGCTAAGTTAGAGATACAGTGCTGTGTGCAGCTCGTGCTCTTTATTTTCAGCAAGCAAATAAATAGAACATATTTTTAAATATCTTCTTTATTCCAGAGAGCTTTTTGTTAACATTACTTTTTAGATGTGCTCGTTGGTGTAGATAGTATCAAGGGAACAAGCTGGGTGTCAGAGTGACTAGGGGTCAGTGGAGATGGATGAGGTGAAGGCCATCTTTATTTATTTAGGAAGCTGTTCTAGATGGAGCACACGCTCTGTTTGCTCTGGAGGCCAAAACTAAGAACCGAGGTATATGAGGCTGCAGGGGAGACCAGATTCCAACTCAACAGAAGAACTTTCTATCAACTAGAGCTGTCCAAAAATGGCTTGCTTATGTTGTGGCCGACTGCCCACCACAGGCGTGCTCAGCCAAAGCTACTTCTTGGCGGGGCATGGGGAGGCAGGGGACTTTGAACACAAGTTCCAGTTCATCTAAGAAACCTCTCAAATCCTCTCTAGATCGAAGACTCCAAGGTTGTGTAGGCACACACTCTTGACACACACAGGGCCTGCCTGGCAAGGCTCTTGCCCTCCCCAAGGTAGTACTGGTCTGTGCTAAGCCAGCCACATTCCCCAGCTGAGCTCCCAGTTGCTGAGGGAACATCTGCGATTGGACTAGTGCAGCTATGGGCAGACTCTGCCTTCTGAGAATTAAGTCATTTCCCAGCCTGGCAGCGAGGACTCTGGGCTGGTGCTCCCCTTCCTGAGCCAGCCACCACAGGTGAGCTATGAATGCTGTCTCACTAGTTCTCATAAGGGGCTTAAGATTTAGGTCAGGAACAGAGTCTGCTGGACTTGTCCCTCCCTCTGCTTTCTCCTGCCAGCACCAAGAGGAACCTCTAGGATGAGAGGCTGAAGAGAGCCAGTGCAGGAGGCCTGGAGAGGATGGGGCAGGCCCCACCGGCTTAGCCACCAGGCCAGGGTGAGTGACCAGAGAGGCCGTGAATGGGTGTAGGGCCTCAGATGACCTTTACCCTTGCTGCAGGGCAAGCATAACAATGACCTTGACCAGGCACTCCTTTTGCTCTTCATGTAAGACCTCTACAGGGGTCTACCTGTCTACCCTAGATCACTTAATAGCACTGTTGTCAATAATAATGGTGGCAGTAACCATGGTGGGAGCATTTGCTGGGTTCTAGCTGTTGGCCCTCCACTAGGAATAGCTCATCCCATGGATTATCTCATTGAATCCCTAGGATAATCCTACGAGGTGGATGCAGTTAGCAGGGCCATTTCCTAGACCAGGGAACTGAGGCCTTGGAAGTTAAAGGACTTACTTGGAACACTAGTCTGACTCCAAATGGTGGACTTTTCATTTGACTCAGTTGCCTCATTGTCTTTTTATATAGAGAGACATGGAAACAGAAAAGAAAGTGACCACATTGGCCACCACCCCCAGGGGCTTCTCCAGCTGCAGGAGGCCCTCCAGGGAGGGGCCAAGGAAGAACCTGGGCCCCCGGCCCTGTGCTTAGAGCTTCAGGACCTTCCCCCAGTGAACCCCCACAGCAGACTTCTGAAGTGCCTGGTGACGTTGTTTGCACTTTGCAGAGAGGTTCAGGGACTTGCTCAAGGTCACCTGGTGCAGAGGAGCTGGCCCCAGCCCGGCAGCCTTCCCCGCCACGTCATCTGCCTCTCCGCAAACAAAGTCAACACCCTCACAGACACTAAATTTATATTTCCTGGCCTCCCCTTCCAAAATGGATGCGCTAATTACTGGCCATTTTTTTTAGTAATAGTAATCATCAGGATCACATTTTTCAATGTTTGCGCTTTCTATTCTGCATACTACCGAAATAAAGCCCTGCTCAAACCCACAGGCTCAAACCCAGCAAGCGGGAGGCCCTGTGAATTCAGAAAAGTTCAGAAAGACGTTACACTAAAGCAAAAGAAACAAAGTGTTGATTAGGGACTTATTTTGGTAAGCGATCAAAATATGGATCATTAAAATAGGACTGTATTTCAGGCTCTGTAGCCTCGCCTCATCAACGGTAGTTGACTGCCGGCTTTGAATGAGATGTTTGCTGTAGCCTTTTCGGCTCTAAAATGCAGTCCTGGATGCCGTGGACCCACCTTGCACAGAACAGTTTTAAAAGTCTGGTTCCCAGCACCTGGGCATCATCTTACCCACTTCACTAAAAGGAAAAACCTAAGTGATTTGGCGTCTTCCGTGTCTTAAAGCCTTTTTCTTTATTTCATCATCGTAGTAAATACTAGCTTATGTCATTAACAACCAACACTGAAAGGTAGAGGAAGGAGCAAAGCCAGAGACGCCAGGCCATGTCAGGAGTCACTCCGAAAGGACATCACAGGAGTTCGGTGGTGCAAGAGATAAGAAAGCTGAGGTTTGCAGAAAGAAAAAGAGCACCATGGAGCTTTTCTCCAGTTCAGGCTGAGTTGAAGAGAAAAAAATAATTTTGCAATATCTACAGCCCAAAATATGCAGTTGAATTAGGTTGTTAATTAAAGTATCTGTTCAAAATGGCTAAAATTAGAGATAAAAGCCCATTGTTTGGTACAATTGTTGACTGCATATCTGCATGTGGAAGGGCGTGGGGGGACAATGAAAAGCCTGTGGTATTTTCAAGATTAATCACCCACCCCAAGGGGTTTTGAGGCACCCACCTGCATTTTGAACTTGGATCTAAGCCAAAGGGGTGGGCCTTGACAGGTTTTTTTTCGATAATTAACTACTCAGTGGACACTTCAAATACCAAATATATCACAAGTGAGGGCCCCCAGCTCAGACTAGTCCCCCACAACCCCCATGTCTTCTGCAAGGGGCTGACATCTAAGATGATTGTCTAGATACTGGAACCTTGGAGCAATGCCTGGGTGTATTTTTAAAGAAGGGAAGCATCCCAGAATATGCCAGTTCCTTATAGGGTACTTCCATGGTTATTAGCACCTCTGACTGGACTTGTGAATTTTTTTCATATGTATTCTCTTCCTGCTGGGATTGGGCTGTTTTTCTCTGTTGGGAGAATTTCTAGGAAGATTTTTGTAAGTTATCACTGAAACGTCAAAACTTTTCTTAATGACTTCCTGATTCTTCTTTGAACAATCTGCAATGCAAGCAAGGATAGATGTGACAAGGATATGTTTCACCAAAGTAATAGCAATGAGTGAGGATAGCTGCAATATCCAGTACAGGCTGGTACATTCCACGATGTACCTTCACACTGCAGCTCCTGGAAGAGCTCCATGATGTGAAAGGAAAAGGATACTTGATTACTGTACGCCTGATTCTAATTACACGATACAGATAGTATTAACAAGGCTTGTCTCTTAGTAGTAGGGTTGTAGGTGACTCTTATTTTCTTTTGGCTTTTTGCATTTTTAGACTTTTTTTTTGTATATGACTTTGCTAATGAAAAATTTCTGTCAAATCACATGACTCTGACCTTCAGAGTTTCTGGGGTTCTCTCCTGTGCCCTCTGGGCCCCCTGGGGTCAGTGGTATGCCTCCCTTGCCCACATTGTGTCCTTAGCACAGTGCCAGGCAGAGAAACAAAGGCTAGTATAGCTAATCCTTGGACAAGGCGGGTTTGAACTATGTAGATCCACTTGTACATATGGGATTTCTTTTAAGTATCGATGACTACAGTACTGTAAATATATTTTCCTCTTACGATTTTCTTAATGCTTTCTTTTCTGTACCTTAGTTTATTATAAGAATACCATATACAATATATATAACATAGTAATATGTATTCATTAACTATTTATGTTTTCCATAAGGCTTCCAGTCAAAAGCAGGCTGTTAGTTAAGTTTTGAGTAAAGTCAAAAGTTACATGTAAAGGGCCTCCCTGGTAGTGCAAGAGGTTAAGTCTCAGCACAATGAAGCTATCCACAGCTACTGCAGCATGAGTTCGATCCCTGGCCAAGGAGCTAACCAACATGGTGCAGCAGACTTCTCTTGGCCTCTGCTCCCTTCAGCAGTGTATTTCAGTCAGTTTGCTTATTCTGTTCCTCACTCTGTCTCTGGTGAATCCTCTACCCCCCTCCTCAACCTCCCCCCACACCTCCGGCCTATACCCCAGTTCTTGTGTGCATGAATGAATAAATCTTTAAAAAAAGTTATGTGCAGACATGTGACTGCATGGGGTCAGCGCCTTTAACCCCATATTGTTCAAGAGTCAACTGTAAATAATTGTGAATGAAACATTCCCATTTCTCTATTTCCCTTTCCTTTTTCCAGGTGACGTGCTGTATGAACTCCTTCAGCATATTTTAAAGCAGCGGAAACCTCGAATTCTTTTTTCACCATTTTTCCACCCTGGAAACTCTATACACACACAACCGGAAGTCATACTGCATCAGAACCATGAAGAAGGTACGAGAAGTCTCCCCTTTCCTTGCTGAGACTTAGACACAGCCAAAAGATTTCATTGTTAATAAGTTTCTTTTCATGCGATTTGTTTTTCATTCAACAAACATTTAATTGTGTGCTTACTATGTAGAAGGCCCTAAGGGAAAGAAGTCCAGGATGAATAAGATCTCTTGGTCTTCTGTACCCTACAATCTAGGTGAAGAAATGAGATAGATACATAGAACTATCAAAGCATAACTATAATAATAGGCAGCATAAATAGTTAGTGGAAGGAGAGCTTATATCCAGTTACAGAGAGCCAGGTCTGGTTAGCCTCATGCAGGAGGTGGCCCTGGAAGATCACTGAAGGTCCAACTGGATTCTCATAAGCAGGGATGACATGGAGAATATTCCAGGCAGTGACCATGGCAGAGGATGGGGTAAGTCCTCAGAGCAGAGAGCAGTCATGCGACTTGGGTTGTGGACTATCTGGTTTTTCCTCCAACCCTTTGTTATGAGAAATTTCAAACAAACCCCAAATAGAGAACATAAGCTAAATAAACCGGCGAGCCATCACCCTGTTTGAGCAATGATCAACAATTTGCTGTTGCTTGTCCAGGGAGGTTAGAGGGGAACCAGGATGTAGAGGACTTTGCTGGAGGCAAGTAACAGGGAGTCACTAAAGATTTGTGAGCAGGGGCTAAGAAGAAGGGAGGGAAAAGACGCAAAGCCCATGAACTCTGTGTTGGACCAGGGGTTTCCTCTTCATCCACCAAAGCAGTTTCATCCAGCCCTGAGCTTGCTGATTTCTGACATCCCAGGCACAGTTACTCTCTGATGAGTCACAGCAGCAATAAAACCACTGGTAGGAAAGAAGAGACCAGAAAAGAACTGTGACTGTGGACCTAGTTCCCCAGCAGGTGTTCTGGTTCAGAAATAAGGTCCAATAATCTCACATTGAATTTGGGTGAACAGTCATCCTTCACATCTTGGACGCGTGCCTGGCTTGGTTAGAAAGTGCACTTGGGCACACGAAGGAATAATTTTAAACTTGGACTTTTCCTTAAGACCAGATTAGTAGGGGCCTACAGCCCTGGTCCCAGGAGGTATTTCCCTAAGTTGATGGATCATCCCCAAAGCAGGGCTCATATTTTTGTGTTGCTGGCAAATTAAAAAATGAAAAGTTACTTATTTTTTGATGGATGCTTCACAAAAGAGAAGGCTGAGTGCAGGGTCCCCCACATCCCTCCCGTACCTAGTGCTTCATTGTCCCCGGTTTCCCCGATGCAGAATAAATGAGCATTTCCCGCACGCTCTCTGCCTGGTGCTCTCTTCCTCCTTCCTGGAGCTCTACCCTTGCTAAATTTAGCAACTGCTCCCCACCCCCAGTTTGGTTTCTCCTTCTTCTGTTCCTCCTGCCATGTATATTTCCGGCTTGCATAATAGCCAACAGCTCCTCCTGAGAAGAGGAGGTGGGTTTACTGAAGCTTGACATTAAGGCAAGAATCGTATTACCTCGTCTGCTTCTCCAGATACAAAGGGGGCGTGATGGGTTTCTCTCTGTGTCCCTCTCTCGCTCTCTCTCTCTCTCTCATTATTTTTTTTAAAAAAATCCCATTTGGAATTTCTGTTCCCCAGTGTGATTGGATGCATAGTGTCTTCCCTTCTCACAAACCCTTCCTCCTTTCTGCTTGTTCTGATTTGATGCAGACATAGGTGCGTTGTCGCTGTTCTTATTTGCAGGAGATAATGAATTAGGGAAAGCCGGCTACGCTCTGGGCAACTGTCAACCCAGTAAATACAGACGCATCCCCTCACATAGCGTAATGAGCTGGCTCTGGGGTGTTGTGATGGTGGTGGTGGGGAAATGCATAAGAACGGAGCTCAAGGCCAAGGTCAAGGCCAGTTCACGGCCCTGTGGGCCAGTTAGCCACTTCAGACCCAGTTCTTCAAAGTAGCGTGTTCTAAGATACCATTTCTCAAAGCTGTCAGCTGGGAAACAATCTGAGAAAATGTCCCCAGCACCCTGGCCCCTTCAGTCAAGTGGGGTGCGCTCACAGAAGAACAGGTGAGCAACAGGAAGTGTGGGTCTCATCAGGAGGCATCAAAAGAGAAAAGTGGCACAAAGCACAGAGGGGATACTAAGAGACAGTCTGTGCCCAGGTTTCCAGATAGATGGGTGCTGTGGGTGACAAAGGGCCAAAGTGGAAAGGTGGGTGGCTGAGTCCTACCTCCAGTCACCTCCCACTTCTTTCTCTTCTTCACCGAAAGGAAAGACTATCCAGCTCAACTTGAGTCATCTCCAGGCATGGTGCTGTTACAGTTACTTGTGAATGGTAACACTTTAACCTGGCCATAGTTAACAGCAAGCACTGGGCCTGAGAAAGAAAGTCTATGAAGTGAAATTGCACATGCAAAATGTTATGTCCGCAGTGACAACTTTTGCATCATGGGGACGCAGTACCATGTATAGGGATGTTGCTTTTGTCTTGGCACAGAGATTGAGATGACAGAATGGAAGGAGAACAGGGGTGTCCCAGAGAGACCCGGCCCAGCTCCTGAACAGGCTGGCACGGTGAAGTCTGCAGAATGGAGCAGACACAGAGCTTCATTCAGCCCCTGTGACCTCACCTCACCACTGCCATCCACTTAGCCAGTTCAGACATTCCTGATGTCACAATGGGAATTTATGTCACAATACAAATGTATCTTGTGGAATCAAGCAACAGCCTCCCCCCCTTGCATAAATCCCATATAACTACATTAGGTGGCAGTGCCAGGAGCTGGAAAGTGAGTGGTAATTATCCCAGAGTTTCCCCTCCAGACTCTGAGGGCAGAAGAGGGTGACCTTACTTATCCACACCCTTTATTTTGTAAACATTTGTTATAGATACAGTGCACACCCCGTTTTGAAGTTGTGGCACACCTTGGGTGAAGCAGACCCCAGTTATTATGTGGCTGTGGGGGAACCAGTGTTTTTACTCCATTACTTGGAGGCAGAGAGCACAATATTATATAATGAAGGGAACCTTATAATTTTTCTTCTTAAAGATTTATTTATTTATGCATACAAGAGCTGGGGTGTAGGCTAGAGGTGTGGAGGGTGAGAGGATTCATCAGAGACAGAGTGGGGAGTAGAACAAATGGATCTACTGAAATTCATTGCTGAGGGGAGCAGCGCGCGAGTCAGGAGAGGTCTGCTGCACTATGTGGGCAGCTCCCTGGCCGGGGATCGAACTCATGCTGCAGTGGCTGGTGATAGCTTCATAGTGCTGTGTCTTTAACCCCTGCTCCATACCAAGGCATCAAAGACCGTGAAACAGGACTTCGTTAATAAGTAAACTAGGATCATAGGCAGGAGCCAGCACCATCCCGGACAAACTGGGCTGGCTGTGCAGTCAGCTTAGTTAGCATTTTTTTAAAAGGGGGGAGCTGGAAGTCAGGAGACCAGGATCTGATCCTCCCTTCTGCCACCACTCTTGTTTCTCTGGCCTCTGTTTCCCCACTTACAAGGTAGATAGATAGACAAAGTGGCCTCAGATCTCTTCCAGCTCTCAACACTTCACTTTCCCCCAGGTCTGATCTCCCTGGTGATAGGGAGGTGACTAAGACGCGTTCTTAGGATCCTGGACACCTAAAATCCAGAACATCCTGCAGTGTCCCCTTTGGTGTTGCTCAGAAACAGTTGAATCTCTTCTGTCTCCTCTGTCTCATCCAGAACTGCTGATAAAGTTACCCCTCCTAGGAGTCAGACCAAGAGTAGCATCACTTGTTCATGATGAAAATCTCAGGTTAAGTGTGTTTCCTTCACTTTGGTTGTTGTGACTCATTTTAGCTACTTACTATGAATTAGTTAGGGGTGTTGGGTAGCTATGTAGAGAGGAGACAGATAAACAATGATACTACTTCTGTCACCAGACCAGGAGATGAAACATCTTTAGCAATTTCAGACTAACAAGTGGTTATACAGTAAATTAAGTTTGTCAGCACAGTTGTAATGTCAACTTCCTTTGATAACTTAGGGTCCAAATTCAGTCACTTTCAGTTCCCAGGGACTATTTTAAAGAAAGGCATTGTCCCAAGTATATATTTGATGGCCGCCGATCCTTTGGTATTAGAACTGCTTACAGGTTCCCTAAAAACTCCATGAAGTATGCTTCCAGTCTGGGCTGGTCTCTGGGGTCAGCTCCATGGCTCCCCTATTCAGCCAGACTTGCTCAAGTCTCTGGGGAGGAGGAGCAAGATCTGTGTTTCTCAGATATTCTCCTGCAGCTACCCTTTGAGGGCCTCTGCTGTGATCTCAGCCCTTCAGTCCCACCCTCTCTGTACCCCATCTAAGGGTATGGGAGTGATTTTTAATTGCTTTAATTTGAAAATAGTCACACATGCTGTGCTGTGATTATGTCAGTAGCAGTGGTCAGAGTTCAAAGCACAGGTTCTGTTCCGGGGGTAGCCCTTTGTCCCTGAGTGGACATGAAGATTGTAAGTGATGATAAATCTCAAGTGTCCATATACTGTTCACCCCCGTCTTCCTTGCAGTTCGCACATGGTAATGCCCTGGATCATCGTGAGGCCCCTGGAAGTTTTTATTTCTGATTGTTTTGTTGAAGAAAATATTCTCCTCCCCACACACATCTAGTGACCAAAAGACCAATTTGGAGGAAGAAAATCTCATACATTTTAATGAGATAATTAAAGAAGATGAAGTATATGAATCATTTCATGATAACGAAATAATAGCTAACATTCATTGGGACCCTATTGTGTACCAGGCCCTGTTCGAAGGTCTTGTGTGATTAAATCATATAATCTTCACAACCACCCTATAAAAAAGGTAATGTTGTCCCTGCTTTACAGATGAGGAAATAGAGGCCAGTGACAATGAAGTGACAGCCCCAGCACACAGCCCTGTCTGTCTGACTCCAGTGCCTGTGTTTTCATTCATGTGCACACACGCACACACACATTCACATGCACACACATGCTCACACACCCTGAAAATAGAGCAATGACGAGTGATGAGT